TACATGTAAAACGACTGTCTCAAATACATGTTATTCTCCAGGGTGTTGACTAGAATTCCAGTTCAATACACCTTCAATTACTGCCCTCTCATTGCCTGGTTCAACTTCCACCTTTATAAAGGTTATATAAAATGATGTAGTGGCAGTTTTGGAACTGGAAGAACTCAAGATCCATCCAACAAATCAAATAAAGCAGGAGCTATAATAGGCTTAGGCTTTCATTAAGGCTGAGAGTCACAGAACTGGCAAGCAGCACGCTTTGGCAGATGATTGAGAATGGAAGGAGGAAAGAAAGATAAATCTGTGTAAGGGGGAGGAGGGCCCTGAAAAACTGATGCAATCTGGGTGCATTTTAAAGCAGAAACTCCCATGATGCTCTTTTCACTCTATTCCCAATTATTGTTCAGTTCTCATATCATAGGTCAAAAGGACTTGAGACTAGCTTATTGCTTCTAAACTGCCTGTTGTCTGAGTCTCTGCTTGACAAGAAATACTGTTTTGTTGATGTATTTCTTCTATCTCTTTCTCTCCTCTCGTGTTATCACACATGTTTTTAACCTTGTTCTTTAAACTTTGATTTCAGTGTTCTGTTTCTGCCCCTTTCATTTTAAGCCTCCCCTGAACTCTGCTCTCCCTTTCTGGTGTCTCTGACTTTGCCTTTCCTGTGTCTTCTCTCATGCCTTTCCATTTATTATTTTCCCCTTTCTTTATGTTGTTAACTCCTTCACTATCTTTTCAGTTCTCTCATATTTTCCTCTCATTAATGTGTCAGAAGGGATATTTTAGTGATACAACCAAGTGCTTCCCACTTATGGCAGTGTGCCTGTCTCCACAGAAATCTCAAATTGGAGAATGAGGGACTGGGACCTGAAAAATGAATACAGGGGAATGAGAGATTGGGAACTGAATTCCAGTCATTTATGTGCCAAAGCACCACAGTAGGTCCTCTCATTTAGAGAAGAATATTGAAAAGAGAATACAACAGTTTCTTCCTTGTCTGCCACATTCTCTTTTAAATTAGAGTCGTTCCTTTTCTTTGTCATCTTCCTGCCTACCAGAGCACAGTCTCTCTTTTTCCTTGTTAATACAATTTCCTGCATGTTCTACCTTCATTTTTTTACAACTCTTACTCTCCTTTTTCCTTTTTGGTCTTTTTCTTTCTAAATATCCCTTTCCCCCCTTTTCATTTAAAACAAATTAGGTACAGTGTTCTTTCCTTCTCTGTATTCCTCTAAAAGAACCAGCCACTTCTGCTCCACTAAGATGCTCGTGCCAGTTCTCCCTGCATTTTTGGGGAGCAGGTGCTCTGCCCCTTGCATAGATCTGCTTCTTCCTCTGCATTTAGACTTCCAACCCCCCCCGTCCCCATTGTGTCAAAGTGGATGGGAATGCACTGCCTCACTTCAAAGTAATTTAGTTTTAATGAGCACAGCAATGTGAGTGTGCACTTTCAAAACAAAAACCATTCCAAAAGAGGACATTCAGAGTGCTTTCTTCATTAAAACCAAAACACTCTGAACTGAAGAAGCACATTGAAAGCCACTTTAATACCAAGATAATATTGCCAACTTTAATCCACGCATATGAAGAAGGTGCAGGAGATAAGCAAGATGTTAAATTATTCCCTGTAAGAACCACCATGGTGTACTAGTATGCCCGCTTGTGTCTATAATAACACCAATACTGTATGGAGCGTACAGAGTAAAATCTCACTAGATTGCACCTTGGTAATCTGCAAACTCATACATGTATGTGTGTGCCTGAGTAATATTTGTACATAAATATATCACCTTCAAAGAACTATCTAACTAGAGAAGCAGATCTTCTTGATACAATAAAGCATATGAAAAAAATACTAACATACAAAAACTGAAATAGGTCTGTGACACACAGAGGCAAAAGCTAGGAAATTCCAGCATGCCTGAATATTTCAGCTATCTCCTAAAACTGTCATCTCCAGGCATCATACAATGCAATGCCCAGGTATGAGAGAGTATACTAATGACCTCACATCTCAGCCTTAACTTTGAACTGGTTAGGATTTTATGATACAGGTCTCATAACCTTAATATCACATAAAAGCAGTTTTGGAAGTGAATTTTTCTAATGGATAAAGCAGATGCCCACTGATGTAATTGTGGAACATTTTTGAGATTTATAAATAGAGGAAAATCAGGAATTTAGCAGACTTTGTAAGAGCGTTAGCACAAAAAACCCTCAATTTTCCAAGTGTGATGGAATATTTTATGTGAGGACATGTGTGCATGTATGATGTAAGAGACTTGGTCAATGGAAGTATGAGATTCTGATTTTTCAGAAATAAAATGGAAATGAGTTTCAAGTGAATTGTTTTTGTTTTGTTTTGTGACAGCACTTAAAGCTAAAGGCCTAAATTTTCAGACATGTCCCCTACTTCTGCAGGTTCAGTTTTATACCCACAACTACTTGTGCCCACAATAAATTGAGAGAACAAATAATAGCAACTAGGTATACAGACTAGCTGTTTTGGGACACAATGTTCAGCTGGTACCAATTACACCCATAATTCTTGATGGGTGTAAGTATCAGGAGGTGAAAAACTTCACCCACAAAATCAGAAGTTGGTTTGAGTCCCTCTGAAAATGGGGTCTATGATATCTAAATAATTTCCCAGTTATACCATTTCCCTAATTGCTTTATAAACTTTTTTCCCTTTATTATGTGCTCAATAAATACTGACCTTAAATTTTAAAATTTTAGAATTAACACATCAGAAATCACCCAGGTGCACTTCACTTACATGTTAAATGTTGACTACTATAGAATGACATGGTTAAAACGTACACATTGCAGAGTAATTACAGCGCAAGTATCATAATGCCGAGGATTAAATTATGGAGGTGTGCAGGGGAACATAACTCCCTGTCCTACACTGAATGTAGAAGAAGAGCTCCTCCTTCTCTTTCTGACTTAGGGCATCCCCCTCCTCTCTTGCTAGCGATAGGGGAACCTGATGTGAGAGCCTTAGGAGGAGCCTGATGCCTGGCAAAGAAGCTTCTGGGGCTCACAGATTTTCCTATGGGTGGAGAAGAGAAGCAATAGGTCCTGACGGGAGAAGAAGGGCTTCTCAGTTAGCTATCATCTATTTGCACGCTTTCTCTAAGAGAAAGGAAAGAAAGATTTTCCCTCTCCCCTCTGAAGGGAAAGATGCATCAATAATACCTGATACAAAGTTTTGCATTGAATCTATCTTTTGAAATGTCTTACAGTCTTCTAAAATGGAGGAAGTGGCACTAGATATTTCAAAATTTTTGAGGAAGGACCTCCCCCCAATCTCTACTTCAATTTGTATTTCCATGAGTAAAGATTCAACAATCTCATCAAGTCTAAGCAATGGCATTTGTAGGAATCTGCCTCTACTAATACTCCATACATGCTGCATGTGTGTGCGTGTGCAGCGCACACACACACACACACACACATAAATATGCACATTTTTTCAGTTGGCTTGGTACCTGCTAGGGGCCATGAACTCCTTTCACATATAGAACTCTGAACTGCAAATGCAACTGTACAAAGTTGCAAATATGTATCAGAATGATCCTGTGTGGTTGCTCTAGTAAGAGAGAATACATATATTATAATGACCCTAATCATCACTCTTGATTTTAGTGTAGTTACAGAAGCATAAAACTGGTGTAGCAGAGTGGTAAATCAGACCCAGGGTCAGTAATAAATCTTACAAGTGAAGTGAAAAGCTTTTATAAATGAAATAAACATTTTGGATTCTAAAGATGCAAGCCAACATTCTCATAGACTTCAAGGGATATTTTCAAATGTGGCGTCAGGAACTGGGCCCACCAAAGCTGGAATTGTGAATGCATATCGGGTAACTTCATGTCTAACTAACTGACGTATGCATGCAACTGGATGTGTGTGCAAAATGCAATTTTAAGAAGTCCATTTGAAAATGTGTCCCAAGATTACCTATACATTTACATGTTAATGCAACTTACAGAAAGTAGCCAATACTTAGCTTACCGTCCAAGCCCCAAATTCATCTTCTTTCTTTTTAATATATTTAATTAATCTGTGTTTCTCATGCAAGAGTTGTGGATATTATGAACACAACATAAGGAGGGAAGTATTTTGTTTTCAAAGCTCCTGATGATAGAAACAAAATTCTGATCTCCAGCCCAAATTCTCCAGTCAACACACTCATTTAAACTCCTACTGACCTCACTGATACTGGTTTGCAAAAGTAAAGACTTTTTAAGAACTGAAGTATTTGATCCTTAGGTATTAAATAAATAAGCAAATGGTTTTCACATGCAATTTTCTCTAATGTTTAAATCCTAGAGACAGATTCCAGTAATGATTTCCAGAACAATTTTATAGTCAGAATGACATCTAAGCTAAGTGTGGAAGAAATATACCTGCACCTGCTGCACATGCAAATTCTACACATGTTGGCACAAACATGAAAATTTGGTCACTTCATGCAGTGCTACTTAGGAGAATTACTCTGATTTACACTAGCGTAGAATCAAACCCATTGTCCTTAACTGCTGGTAAAGAATTATGCACATTTAATGAGGCAAATAAATAATGAATAATGAACATTGTTTGAGGGTGCAAGTAAGTTCAGTGATTATAATGTTATCCTGTAGGAATGGGTTTTTCTTTTTCACTGGAACTCAGAGTTATTTAATAGAATTCATCCTGCAGGTAAGGAAATTCGCGGCAAGGCAGGTGGAATTTTGAAGCTCCAAGATTGTATCATCCCATCCTGAAGGCTCTAAAACTTTACTTTGATTTTTATTCCAATTCTAAACATTGTCAGTATTGTTTTATGGGAATAGAATAAGCAAAGCATGATTCCAAACAGTAATTTAATCTTAATTAAGACATTAGCTGCACCCCTCAAACATAAACACTGGCTGTAGTCAAGGAGCCATGACTTATTATGTTGCCATATAATTAGAACAACAGAACATGTAATTTGCTTAAGCATCACTGACCTCTAAAGAACTCATTGATATTGTGGATCCAGTTTCGCTTCTTGCTAATCCTGCATTGTCATCCAACTCGGAGGCTATGAAGTTCTTTACTGCTGTGCGGGGCTCAAAGGCCAAATTCTGCATATGTTCCTGGGTGGGAAGATGCTGATCTAAATTGATATTGAATTGGTCCATTACAGAGGGATTCATGTTGAATTCCGGATTAACTTTATAGTGCAACAGCCTTTCATGAGGCAAGGTATCCATGCCTATATTCAATTTGCTCTCATCTTTCAATGATTGCTGGGTGTTTACTGAACCTCTGGGCATGACAATATAGTCACTTTCCATCATCCGTTCTTGAGGATTGACTATGTCCATGTCTGCACCTCTCAAGTTATCATCAGTGCATAAATACACAGTCCGCCGCAACTCACTGTTGTCTTTTTTCAAACACTGATTGGCCAGCTCACTCATGCTCATAGGCATGTGGAGGCCTGTCGGCTGCTGAATGATGACTTTAGAAATGATGCTTCCGGGCAATGTTGAATAGCTCATACCTTCAGGGTTTGCTCCTTTCTCTTCTTCGTCATCATTTAGTGAAATTCTAGAAAGTGTTCCTGTTATTGTAGCTGCTCTGCATGGTCCAATATCCTTATGTAGAACTGTGAATTACAGAACAGGATTCTCATAACAAGGAGTTGTTTGCTGCTGCTTATTTTACGTTGTCATGGTTTTGTTTACCTATGTTCCTTTCACTAGTGTATTTCCTTATATCTTTTTCTATCCATTTAATAACTTTGTTTTATTTCATAAACGTTAGTTTGAATGAGCTTTTATTTAATCAGTTTCTTTTAATCTACATTGTATAACTGACCTGGATCTCTACCTAAGCCTAGATCATTTATATAAATTAAAAACAGCCCTTTATCTATTTCTACATTCTGTGATAGGTCTTAGGTAACCTACTGCTTAAGCAGAAGCCTGCCATGTGAAACTTGATTAAGGGCTTCCAAAAACCCCAAGTACACTCTGACATCTGCACAGCCCTTATCGACTCTGTGTAACCTCTTGGAAAATATCAGACAGATTGTGCGGCTAGATCTTTTTGTCAATCCATCCTAATGATCTCCTTAACTGTGTACATGTCTTCCCCGACTTTACTCCTAAATGTTCTTTTCTGCTGAATTTTGTAACTCCCTTGTATTAAATTCATCTCTGAATACATGCAGCATACGATCAAACTAGGCAAAGAAGCCTATTTATGTTTTGGTGCACTTGAAGAGTCTATCGATTTATATCAGCATGGCTAATAAAATAGTCATTCACCACTTTCAGTGAAGGTATCTCCAGCTAACACAATAGTGCTAGCATGTGCAGCAAAATTAAGATTTTGTGAGTTAGACAATAAGAAGTACAGAAATACCCATAAATGCATTTACTCCCTTTCCTGTGTCCTGAAGTTCATGGTGGCTCTAATATTACAGTGTGTACACTGATATACAGTAGTAGTCAGCTCACCAACGCAGCCCCCTATGTTAAATCATACATGATTGTCTCTAATTTTTCAAGAATTATTTGCCTAAAGCAAGGAAATGTAAGTGAGAAATTGGGGCATTTCAACTACCCAATAACATTACTTAGCAAAAACGGAAAAAAAAAAAAAGTAAAAACTTATTTTTAAATGCAAGTGGTTATTAGATTGTTTCTAACCACACATGTCATGCCAACTCACCCAGTCACCCTTTTACTAAATATTTCATCATAGGAAATTGAATTTAAATCACTTAATTTTACATGGTGAAGTCCACTCATGTGTGCATTAAAAGTATCTTTCTTTAAGTGTGTCCTTGACATGACTTTCTGTACTACAAAGCTGATAAAGTGTGCAGCTTCATGGATTAAGTCTAAACTGATCCTTCCATTAGGAAGGTAGGAGGAATGTATTTGTTTTTAAATTCCATTGCCTTACCTCTTTCAAAACACATCAGCAGTAATAAACATTAGTTAATAAGGAAGGACTATTACTCTATTGTGACAAAATGCATGGAGAGACTCTAAATCTTAAAATTCCCAATGGATTATAAAGACCTTTAATTTTTCATCGTGTTTTATTTAAACTACGTTGGCTGAGTAAGTTGCTGAAGACAAGTATTTTTAAGTAGCAGAAGCAGACAGCAATGGAGCCAATAAAGTACAGAGTACTGAAACAGAATAAAAATGTGTACCTATAATGTGAAATTAAAATATATTTTTATTTTTTTATTCCTGTGCTGCTTAAACTACAGTAAACTTTAGTTAGTTAGATCCAGAGAAAAGTCAGCCCCTGATTGTTTTCGCTCCTATATATTATATGCATATTTTCAAATGCCCTATATCTAACCAAAAATGTGCTTTGCTAGCTGTATGGCTATTTCAAATTTGCATGTTTACTGGGGTGAAGAAAATTCTTGTATGTGTGAAGTTGATTTTATTGCCAAATCCACTTGTTTTCTAAGATATAAAAATTCTTGTGGGATACTTATCCACTACTTGAATTCTGTTAAGAGACTCTTACACAATTTTCTTTGATAATGAACTACATTTGTCCATGTTTTCTGACAATGAAAGAAAATAGAAAAGATATTTTTCTGTAACCAGGTAAAACCTCATACTTTTTCTGTTTCTTCCTTTTACTTCACAGTGACACTAGTACAAATCTTCTTCATTTTTTTTTTTTTTTTTGGATTGACTACATACTGTTCTGGTATCCTTACCTGACCGACAAGCAATGTCCACATCTTTTTCAAAATCTGTCTGTAACAAGAAACAATGAAACAAGACAACCATTATTAAATGAAAACCAAACCACAATACCTTTTGCCAACCAGTGCTTCCAAAATGTCCTACTTACAGAATCACAGTCTCTTAAAAGTGGTTTCTTGTTGCTGGGAAGGTGGAGTTTATTGTTTTACAACAGCAGAGTAATACAATTTTTCCTAAAGTATAACTGGGTTGTTTTCAAAGTATGCTGCCTGACCACAAAAAAATAAAATAAAATAGATGGAAATATAATATGTAATTTTAATAAGATGATACAGTATGTAATTTTATATTTACATAGAAGAATAACTTCTACATATCATAGAAGGGTTATTGTCAACAAAGCTTTTCACAGTCGTTGTATAAACAGGAGTACAGAAAATAGCCTGCAACACACATTACTATTAATAACCTTAATCAGATTAGTTCACTTTATCTAAAACATTCTTATTAAATTTGGTATTTGTTATATAGCATTCTGTATATCTCTGCTTCTAATGCAACCAGAGTAAGTTCAGCAGCCCCTTCTGCCCCCAACTGTGAAAGTAGCTATTATTCATTTCAAAGTGTGGTAAAGATTCTGCCAGGATTTAGAATGGAGTTTTAATATTGAAGAATCTGTGAAAAGAAAAGGAGTACTTGTGGCACCTTAGAGACAAACCAATTTATTTGAGCATGAGCTTTCGTGAGCTACAGCTCACTTCATCGGATGCATACTGTGGAAACTGCAGAAGACATTATATACACAGAGACCATGAAACAATACCTCCTCCCACCCCACTCTCCTGCTGGTAATAGCTTATCTAAAGTGATCATCAAGTTGGGTGCTGGAAATGGCCCAACTTGATGATCACTTTAGATAAGCTATTACCAGCAGGAGACTGGGGTGGGAGGAGGTATTGTTTCATGGTCTCTGTGTATATAATGTCTTCTGCAGTTTCCACAGTATGCATCCGATCAAGTGAGCTGTAGCTCACGAAAGCTCATGCTCAAATAAATTGGTTAGTCTCTAAGGTGCCACAAGTACTCCTTCTCTTTTTCCGAATACAGACTAACACGGCTGTTACTCTGAAAAGAATCTGTGGTCACTCCGTCACAGTGAAATAAATACTATTTAACTTGATATAGAGCCTAAATGCATTTCAATTTTGCTTTCATGGTTTCCTCACACTTTATTTACATGTATCTAATAAAAGCAGCAAATTTTCCCTTTTTTCAGAAAGGGTCATTTTATCCTTTTTCCTGACATCTCAACATTGGTTTTCCTCTGCTCAAACAGCTCTTTCAAGGGCATTTGCTAAGAGATCCTTGCATCATCTAGGGCCTGATCCTGTTCCCATTGAAATCAATGGGCTAAGTATTTGGCTACTAAACTGCACCTAAGGATATTAGCAAATATTAGGCTTGTCCATAAAGTCATTAAAGATTAATCTTTAATTAAAGATATGCCATATGATGAAATCTCCAGGAATACGTCCAACCAAAACGGGCAACCCTAACTTTCATTGACTCCTTAACTCTAGCCAGTTCTTTCCCCTGTATAATGCCCACCACTTTCTCCTCAATAGAAATAACAGATGCATTTGCTTTGAAGCTGGGGAGGTGGGAAGGCTCTTAAGTCCCCCAGACTGCAACACTGCTCTGTAAGCAGACACTAGCGGGTACAGAAATTCAGAATATATAGTATGTTTCACACTTGACCACTCATCCTTGAGACTGAAAACATCATCTACACAACACTGTAGTCCCAGCTGCCCACAAAGGCAGAGTCTTGGCTGCTCTTGAACCTTGGTATTCAGAGATTCAGCACATAATAGTGCTATTCAACAGACCACTGAACCAACAAGCTGAACTTTTCTAAGAAATTTCAGGAGCTGAAGTCAGACTTGTACTTAAGAACCATATTAATATTTCATGTACACGCACTTGACATGTACAGTAATGTATAGTCATCTTTTTATTTTGGCTAGGGACACTGAATTAGAAGTCCAGGATAAAATAAAAACTCACCATGATCTGAGCATGTCCATTAGGAAAAGAGCTTGAAGAATCTGCATTGATTGGATCTTGGCAGTTTCTTAATCGACATCTAAATGCATCTTGAACCTGTGAAAACAATAACATGCACTGTGTCTTCTGACATTTTTAATACAGCTATAGACAAAACTTAACTGTAAAGTTAGTTTTACTTTAGGATACCAGATACATCACAGCCAGTAAATGCGCATTTTTTATCTCTGCCATTTCACACTCTTGCTATACTCTAGTGCTGGTACAAAAGTCTGCAAATCTGCCAGACCCAGAATTAAATTTGTCAAGGAACATAATTAATTAGCAGTCAGTGATGAGGGGTTACTCGGCCCCAAACTGTCTTCAGTGGCAGTGTTTGGCTCTGCCCTCTCACTCAGTTTGACTGCAGCAGCAGGTCAGAAGGTAGGTTTATAAAAAGTACTTTATTCCCATAGCAAAATAAAATGTATTGTATGCCTGACAAATGTAAGGGCTTTCAAAGGTGGCTCACATTGTATTCTCTAGTTTTAAGTATAGGGAGTATTTCTTAAACCTCTTGCACCAGTAAAACCTTTCAGAGTGGACAAAACTTATTAAGTGTGAACTCGAGTAGGAAAGTAGCTTGCTTTGTATTGGACAAAGGTGTAAGATTTTATTATTTATCTCTTCTGTAGAACTTAGATATAAATTGTCACCACTCATTAATGAGTATTATTCTGTCCAAAACATGACTATATTTCAAGAGTTACTACTTCAGAAGGTTTGATGTATAGAACTTATAAGAAATTTGACCAGGATCATATGTTTAAGTAGATATATTACCAGAGAACAATTTCTAAGGAAAGAGATGCATAAATAGTAAGTAGCGTCCAAAGGGGTAAAGCAGTTCCTGCTCATTGGCAGTCTAGTGTGAGTACATTTGGCTGCACATATCAGAGATTAAAAATGGAGGCAGCAAGAAAATTCTTGCAATGGGAAAAGATATTTATAAGTGTGGCCTTGGAAACACACGAGAATATTTCTTTGAATTAAGAACCAAATTTTCTTCAGTTTTGCTTAGGTGTCTTTTGTATTCACTTGCCCCACACATTCTAGAAAACCAGTTTATTGGGAGGAATGTTTGTATTCACAAATTTACATTTAATAAATGTTAGTATTCATATTGGAAATCTGATTCTAAGAGTTACCATCTTCCAACCTGGATACAGAAATTTGGCCATGTGATCTGTGTCCCATCAAAACTAACCAACACCATTTCTTTGCTGAATATCAAACACTCTCAATGAACTTCTTGTGAGCAGTCTACAGACCATTCAGTATCTGCAGAAATTATTCTGTGATTGATTTAGAATAATCAAATCAGAGAAAATCATAAGCTGCTCATAGACATTTACATTTTGTAAACAGTAAACGAGGCTAAATTAATCAACTGAAGCTGAGCCTAAGGCCTTGCTTTCTGAATGCCATTATTTTATGCTACAAATTCTTTGAGAGCTTGGATAGGCTTTCCCAGCAGGAAAAAAAAAAAAGCAGATGGAAAACTTTGCCTTATCTTTATAATTAGAAAGCATTATCTTAAAGTGCTCAACCCTTAAACAAGTTAAAGTGCCCTGCAATATTTAAGTCTAAATGAGTACTGCAGATGGAGGAAGACTAATTTAGGGCAGAGAGAAAAGATGTTGCAAGTGTAAAAGGTTTGGTATGATTTTAAGGCACTGAAACTCCCGAAGTGTGAGAGAGTAATTAAAAGGGTGCTTGACCTGGATTATGAATCAGACTTTGATTTTAGGCATTATGTTTGTTGTGGTTTTGCATGCATCTAACACCAATCTGATTTAGCATCTCCCAGTTGTTACAAAAGTTAATCCAAATCTTTTCCCTCTTTATCAGTGCTGAAATCCCATATCAGACTTTAGAGTTCTATATTGTAGGGTAATCACTGGTGAACTAGGTTGACAAAATGAGGACCATCCTGAATTTCAGTCAAATCTCAAGGTAACTGAACCCAAATCTATTATTGCTTCAAAAACACATTAAGTTACAACTTCCCCTCCCCAAAATATCTCTCTTACATGTTCATGGAGGCTCCCCATACCTCATACTCCGATAGATCTCATTAGTCTCCCTCAAGTACTTCATCAGCAATAAATTGGAGAGTCTTTGGTGAATTGACCTCTCATAGCTGCATTCTAAAATGTATCTTAAATGCAAGCAACATACTATTAGGATGTTACAGTTGAATGTCTGAGATAGCTGTGTCCATCAAAATGATGCAAATTGCAACTTGTAAGCATGCACCACGAAAATACTATTTTTTGTCCTCACCAACTCATCCATCCTCTGTTTAATCACTCTGAGACATATTGGAGACAAAAGTAGCTGAGATGATGAAGTATTATTGTTGCTAATTAAGAATGCTATAGAGTTTCTGGTTTGGAGAAGGAACTTAGAACCAGATCCGCAAAGATTTAGGCACCTAAATTCCAGATTTAGGCACCACCATGATCCACAAAATCCCTGCTCAGCTTCTGTTTAACAGCATGGCTACACTTGCAGATGTAGAGCGCTGTAAGATAAACCAGCCTTCAGGAAAACGCTGCCGTGTGTTTACACTGTCAGCTGCAAGCTCACTGGCGTGGCCACATTAGCAGCTCTTGCAACGCCACAGAGAGCAGTGCATTGTGGTAGCTATCCCAGTGTGCAAGTGGCTGCAATGTGCTTTTCAAATGGGGGGGAGGTGGAGTGTGACAGAGAGTGTGTTGTTTGTATATGTGGGGAGAGACCGCGTGTTTTGGGGGGCTGAGAGTGTGTCAGCATGCTGTCTTGTAAGTTCAGACAGCAGCAGAGCCCGCCCTCCCTCACAACTCACAACAGCAGCATTCCACACTAATGGTTGCTTTGTCACCGAGCAGATAAGCATGCCAGCTGTCAGAAACAGAGCTTTGAAAGGGGATACCTGCATGCCTGGTGCTGATTTCAAAACAATGAGAAGAGTGGTCACTTGACTTCAGAGGATTATGGGATGTTTCCGGAGGCCAATCACAGCGCAATAATGCAACACCTCGTCCGAACTGATGCCCAGGCATTTCAGCCGGGGCACAGCAAGCTTTATGCTTCTCGTAGAGGTGGATTATCAGGAGCACTCCAGCTGCAGAGTCCAGGTGCTCTAAGTGCCTTGCCAGTGTGGACACATCAGGAGTTAGGGCACCCGGGACTGCTTTAATGTGCTCTAACTTGCAAGTGTAGCCAAGCCCTAAGTCTGTAGGTGCCTAAACTCACTCAGCACTTACAGTGTAAAAGTTCCCTAGATGCCTATGTTTCTGCCTCTGGGCATGTGCACTGCTGCCTCAGGCAGAGCCTGCATGCCTATCTCAAGCCTCAGCACAAGCCTCAAACCAGGAGAAGATAGGTGCTCCCTCACATATCTTGCCTGTGGGTCCTGATCCAGTGGGTGTGCTCAGAGGATGCCTAACTCCACACAAAACATCAGAGGGGGAGAGGCAGTTTCCCCCTCCCCCCTTATAACCTTTAGCCCATCGGTTAAGGGACTCGGATGGGATGTGGGAAATCCCATTCTTCCTGAGAAGAAGGAATTTGAACAGGGGCTTCCCACCACTTCCTAACTACTGGACTACACAGACAGTCTCACTTCTGTGGCCCAATTAATATTTAATTATTTATAACAAAGTGAAACAGCTTCAAAAATGGAGTGAGAGAGGCCCTCCTGAAAATATTCCATAGCTCAGTGGTTAAAGCATTCACCTGAGAGGTGGGGAATCCCTGTTCAAATCCATTCCCCTCCTTAGGCAGATGATAACACTGAACCAGGGTCTCCCACATCCCCCTGGGTGATCACTTGAACTACTGGCTAAAGATTCTGAGGGAAGTCACTGCCTCCCCTGGCCGTTTCATGTGGAGTTAGGCAGGTACCTAAGGCATTCTCACAAGAAATGGCTATGGCACCTGACTCCAAGAGAGGAGGGGTTCCCAAATGTGGGTTGCAAGCAGAGATAGCCTCCCTCCCCACCTGAACATAGGTCCCTAACTCCCTGAGATGGGCAGGGGCTGAAGGAACTCCTTTGTCATTGGCATCTCCCATTGGGTAGCAGTGGTGGCTCTCTGCCTAGCATGCTAGCTTTTGTGGATTCCATTCTCAGGCACCTATCTCTCCCTATGCATTGTATGGAGACCCTAAGTGCCTAACGCAGCCTTTGTGGATTCCACTAATTTTTCTAGGTGCCTGAAAGCTAGGCATTGCAATGCTGAGTGTAGCAGTGCCTGATTCCTTTTGTGTATCCTGCCCTTACAGCCTTTAAGGGATTTTGTCAAAGGGAATAACCTGACCCACCTATTGGTTTCTACTTCATGGTCTTAGTACAGGCAGAATCCTCAGACAGTGTCACAAACAAAAGGCGGGCCTCTGAAATGCTCATTTGTTTTTCTCCACCATTCGTTCAGAATTGTTTTGTAGTTTATTTTTTTCTTTCTAACATCAGGCTATTTGATTGTTTTAGAGCCAGGCAGACTAAGAGAGACAGATGTGATGAATGTGCATGAACCAAGGAAGTGGTTTCCCTAGCAACAGTAACCAATTCAAGACTCTTATAACTTACCCTCTCTCCCTAGTCATGCACCTTTTTTCTCTTGCAATATAGAAATGTGGGTTGAGATTTAGACACTAAACATGTATTTAATCCAAATGCATTTCAATCAGTAGGAGCAAGGAAAAAGCAGAAAATACACATGGGTTCCTCCCATCACCACCAGCCTTTGGAGTTGTTCAGCGTGACTCAAATTAGCTTCAGAAGAGGCTGTGTTCAAGCATGCCAGGAATACTGTTCTGGTATTCTGGTGTGGAAGTCTATTAGCACTAGGCTTTTCTATCATTCTCTGTTTTATGACAGATACACTCGCACCACATTCCCCCTATGTCTCATTAGGTACTTTAACAGCAAGAAGACAAGAATGAATAGTGATATGATAGGGTGGGAATATCCCCATTAGTCTTCAAGTTAAAAATAATGATACTTAGCTCTTCTATAACATTTTTCATCCATAGGCCTCAAAGCATGAAGGAGAGGAAAGTATCATTATCCTAATTTTACAGATTGGGAACTGAGGCAGAGGGATATGAAGTGACACTCCTAAAGTCACACAGCAGATTGGGAACAGAAGCCAGGTCTCTAGAGTCCCACTCTAGTGCCCTATTGAACAACCATGCAGCCTCTTAAACAGCTCACTTTCAGACAAAAATACTGACATGACAGACCAGTGGGTTTTGGATAGAAAGAGAGTGTAGATACACACACGTTCTTAAATTTCCAATGTTTATGTCCAAACCAATACATCAGGTATAATGAGAAAAAAGATTATATATATTTACATGAACAAGAATGCATCATTTCTGGAATATAACAATAGTAAGGGCATGGTAAAGCAGGTCTGACCTTTTCTTTGTTTGAATTTTTCTAAGATGTATTATTTGTGGTATGTTATTTGACAGTCCAAATTAATATTTTGCTTACACTGACATATTGTAAATATTAGATGAATCATATGCAAGATATAATGAGATGGCTTCATTATCTGTATAGCATTCATCATCAAGAACGACAAATACATTGGTCAGATTTCAATGTCATGTATGGGTAGAGAGAAATGTCCTCTTTGGACTACGTAAAGTAATGTACTACAATTTCAAGTAAAATGTATTCTAAACAATTTAACAACTAAATTGCTCTTTGAAAATGTGCACGTGATAACTGCTATCTTAGCTGTCACCAGGGATTGAACTGTGAAACTCTAGAGCTAAAAGCATGAGGATGTATAGCCTGACTAAAGAACCAGATTCTTGAAGTCCTCAAGGCAATAGGTACAGAGTGGGACATAACACACCCTGAGCAGTGGTTACATCCTATCTCTGAACAGAGGAAGTTCATCCAGAGGTTCTGTGGCCCACACTACTTTGAATCACACATGAATCCCCACTTAAATAGCTTACATCACGTTGATGGAATCAAGGCTCTCCAGAGCTAAAGGTGTGAGTTCCCACAGCTTGAACTAAAGAAATCTTTAGCTGAAAACTGTTATAGACTCATATCCTCTAAGGACTGGGCACAGAGGGGGACATAACACATGCCAATCAGTGGATTATACAAATATGTGTTCTGTGAGATAAATGGATACATGAATGCACATACTCCATTTGTGTAATAAGCAAATGCATATGTCCTTTTGAAATTACTTGCCTGAGAATGCGTGCGCATATTATACAGGTAGAGTTTAGGCATTTTTAAAATGTGGGTACTTAAATGGTATGAGAAGGCTTCCTGCATCAGTGCCTTGTATCCCATGACAATTAACTAATGTTATGAAAGAAAATTGCTTTAGTAGTGTATCATCTCTTTGAGCCCTTTCCCATTTGGAAAAAAACTCTGATTAATTAGTTCCTCAATTTTTGCTCCAGCTCTTAAATTTGGATGAGTGTTAGGATAACAAGGTGGGGGAAAGAAGATTCTGTGTGTGAGCACTTGAGGAAGAAGGGATTCAGCTGATAGGTCTACATAAAACTGCCATCACTTTTTATTGGTCGAAGGAATGAGGTATAAATAGTTGTAGCCTTTTATCATTTCACTGTAAAAATGTATGATTTGGTGGCTTCCAATTCTGCAAGTACCTGCCCACCCAATATTAGAAAGGTATACAAAATGTGGAGGGAACAGGAAGCCTTGTGGGTGATAAGTAATAACAATAATATAAACATTTTTTTTTAAATTCCACTATATATATAGTGCCTTTTATATGAAGATTTCATGCTGTTTTACAAACATTAAATAATTTTGCCTCCCAACACCTCTGTGAGCTACTGTTGGTATTGTTATCCTTTTTACAGATGGGTAAAATGCGGCACAGGGACTTGTCCAAGGTCACACTGCAAGTCAGGAATAGAGCAAGGCATATTAGTTCAGTTTTTAGAACCCAGGAACTCTTGTTTTAAGCCATAGCCCATACTCCCTCCATTTTCAGACTCCTGCCTGTCTCTAGTGAAATAATCAAAATGATTTAGTGGTTCACAAGGTGATCCCCCCACCCCCACACACTGGGTAGAATACAATATTCATGCAGATTAGAATACCACAGAGAGACTGAAATAGATTGGGTCACTACCCTGCATGCTGTTTTGGATGAATATAGTGAACTTGAGTTCTTAGGACGGTGAATGATGGAGAGAAGAGACACTTGCAAGCCTCCTCACTCAGCATGGCCAATAAACCTTAAATGTGACCTGAAGCACACTGTTATTCCAGCCCTGCAGCTCCCTTGAATAGATACTGCCAATCACTGTGAATAGTGTTACACGTGTGGTATGGTTTAGTGATGTAGATAAACAACATACATAAATTGAAAGGACCACACTTACTGTGACCTAACAAGATATGAACCGATATAGAGTTGAAAAGCTTGTTCATTAAACGACCACACCTATCTCCTACATTTTTGTACATTTTCAACAGTTTTCTGTTTAAGATGGAATAGTGTAAATGAAAGCAATTTTATATTTGATCAGTCTTTCTACATGTGAAAAACTCACAGAATCTGTTCCTTTGGAAAAGGAGTCTTAGGTCTTCACTTATTGTGTGTAATCATAATTTCAAAGATGAATAAAAGTTAGAAATAAACAAGACCTATTTGGCCCAATTTAAAGGTGACCTCTAATTAAGTGGGCCCATTTTCCCACTGAAATTAACTGTGCTGCATTTTGCATCTGAAAATAAACAATCTTCCTTCAACCTCACGTCCATCTACTCTCCATCTTGTTCATTCCTTTATTCACTCTCAACTTCCTATCTGTCCCTGTCCACTGAGTTTCTACATTTGGGGGCAGTTCTCTTTCTTCTGCTGCCTCATCATCTGCCTAGAACAGTTTGAGATCCTTATTCACTTGCCCCTCTTTAAATCTCATCTCAAAAATTTCCTTTTTTCTTTATACCAATAAGTGAATTTCTGAAAGTATATATTGTATATAATATTAAGTAGTAAGTGAGAAACACAGCACTTTAGCGATCGAGAAATTATTCCTCACCTCTCTTCGGAGAATGCAGTGGACCATGACAATAACAAAGCCTTGCAATGAATCAAATACTGCGAAGAGTATCTGAAATAATATTGATCTTTTGTCTGTCATGGCCAGAACTGCCGACATCCACGTCAGAGCAAGAAGAGGCAACACAACACAGGAACTCCAAAGGGATGCCCTATTGAGAGAGAGAGAGAGAGAGAAAACAACATTATATAACTGCAAGTAGATAAATAAAAACCCGCTTCTAAAAAAACCATCTTTTAGGATGGCAACTTATTAGTTAATTTGAAAACCACAGACAAATATATAAAAAGCGTTGTACTTTACGTTCTAAAGAGTATCCCCTATTCAGTTAATAAACAGTTGCCAATTTTAACAAGAATATTTAAATATGTTCAGTGCTCTACTACAGTATTAGCAAACACAATTTTCATCATCAAAGTATTTTCTCACATGCACTGTATAAGATTTGTAACAAGAAGATGTAAATGATTAGGACTAACATGGCATTACTGGCGGTGGTGGCTGACAAAGCTGTTGTTGAAACTACTCCACACTTGGCACATTTGAGCGTCAAACCGCTATGAGGCTCACTCATCTGACTGCAAACAAACAGAACACCCACAAAAAGAACAAAATATTGAATTTTCACTGAAAAACGTTGCTACTGAAATTTAGCTTTTAAATATGACGTCATGCAGAAAAAGTAAATAGACTTATTCAGGATGAATGCTCTAGATTGTTGCAAAAGTGTATTGATACTATACATTATTAACTTTAACTATTAATACTATGGGGCTTAATTTCATGCAGGCTCTATTTCTTCCATTTAAGCTAAAAAAGGCCCCAATGTCCAGAGATCAAAGTTGCTCAATACATGGAGGTAAACATAAGCACGTGCTAGTGTAGACACACACTGTGAAATCCCTCTATTCAGACCATTTACAAAACTAATGCATCCATGTTCACTTCCTCAAGAATGAGTACAGGTCATACAAATGTGGAGTACAAAATATTGATTATTATATGAACATTAATAAAGGAAGAGACTTCCAAAACAAGCTCAGGTCATTCAGTCAAGATGGACTTACTGTACAGTTAGTAAGCAAATGATTTGGTATAGTAATTTGAGTGTGCTGGCTAAAATCTGGAGACAGCACTTTACCTAGCAGTTCTTGTTCCCATTGTATAAAGGTCTGAATATAGGGGTTGAAATGTATGGAATTTGATGAAAATAAATATTATTTGGGACTAAAAAGGAGTGATATGTTATTCCATTTTAATAAAACACAGTACACAAGCATTAAGTTTAAAGCATTTTGTCCAGACAACTGTATTACAAAACTCATCACAGTTAAAAAGCAAAACCTGGTATTAGAATTTTCTTCGTCTGTGTACAACATGGATTCAAATTTGGAAGTTTTGATTAAATAAACAACTTCTTTGCTATCCTATTTCCCACCTGCCACCAGAACCAGTGATTTTCATATCATATCAAGAAACATACAACAATATAGGGAAAGGTTTTTTTACCCATTAATAACTGGAAAAAAACAACAACCAAACCAAACCAACCAACCAAAAAAAACAAAACAAAAAAAAAAGGCTCCTACACGTAATGAAGAAAAGCAACATATGGGAAAAATATTTCTCAACATTTCACCTGACTTTGAACTCTCACTCTTCGCCCTCCCATTTACCGCCAAAGTTAAAAGTTTGCTTTTGTTTCTATACATAATGAACAGAAATAAAGGGCCAGATCCTCAGGTGGTGTAAAATGAAATCAGTGCAGCGAGGTGATTTTCACTATCTAAGGGTGTAGCCAATAGTTGGAGACAGAAAGAATTAAGTCTTGATCTTGATACTGCAGCACTTACTCATATGAAAAGTCTCATTATTATTGCAATATGCAGAACAGATCTATAGATTTATAGGGCCAAAATCATCCCGCACATAACTTCAGAATATCTGTGTATATATTACAAAAGAATGGAATGTCTTTCACCTAACTTATGATAAGTATTCTCAAAAAGCTCTTTATAATTGTGGCACCTTAGAGACTAACCAATTTATTTGAGCATAAGCTTTTGTGAGCTACAGCTCACTTCATCGGATGCATAAAGTGGAAAGTACAGTAAGGAGATTTTATATATACACACAGACCATGAAAAAATATGCATTGTAAAGAGAGTGATCACTTAAGATGAGCTATTACCAGCAGGAGAGTGGGGTGGGGGGAGAGAAAACCTTTTGAAGTGATAATCAAGGTGGGCCATTTCCGGCACATTTCCAGGAGTTAACAAGAACGTCTGAAGGAACAGTGGGGGGGAGGGGGGGTGTAGGAATAAACAAGGGAAATAGTTTCACTAAGTATAATGACTCAACCACTCCCAGTCTCTATTCAAGCCTAAGTTAATTGTATCCAATTTGCAAATTAATTCCAATTCAGCAGTCTCTTGTTGGAGTCTGTTTTCTAAGTTTTTTTGTTGAAGGATAGTCACTTTGAGATCAGAAATCGAGTGACCAGAGAGATTGAAGTGTTCTCCGACTGGTTTTTGAATGTTATAATTCTTGACATCTGATTTGTGTCCATTTATTCTTTTACGGAAAGACTGTCCAGTTTGCCCAAAGTACATGGCAGAGGGGCATTGCTGGCACATGATGGCATATATCACACTGGTACATGTGCAGGTGAACGAGCCTCTGATAGTGTGGCTGATGTGATTAGGCCCTATGGTGGTGTCTCCTGAATAGATATGTGGGCACAGCCAACGTGCACGGGCTGAAATTGTGGAAAAGCAGCATCACTTGCCCCATAACCTCAGTCGTGCAGAACGCAATGCCATCCACAGCCTCAGAAACAACTCTGACATCATAATCAAAAAGGCTGACAAAGGAAGTGCTGTTGTCATCATGAATAGGTCAGAATATGAACAAGAGGCTGCTCGGCAGCTCTCCAACACCACTTTCTACAAGCCATTACCCTCTGATCCCACTGAGGGTTACCAAAAGAAACTACAGCATTTGCTCAAGAAACTCCCTGAAAAAGCACAAGAACAAATCCGCACGGACACACCCCTGGAACCCCGACCTGGGGTATTCTATCTGCTACCCAAGATCCATAAACCTGGAAATCCTGGGAGCCCCATCATCTCAGGCATTGGCACCCTGACAGCAGGATTGTCTGTCTATGTAGACTCCCTCCTCAGACCCTACGCTACCAGCACTCCCAGCTATCTTCGAGACACCACTGACTTCCTGAGGAAACTACAATCCATCGGTGATCTTCCTGAAAACACCACCCTGGCCACTATGGATGTAGAAGCCCTCTACACCAACATTCCACACAAAGATGGACTACAAGCCGTCAGGAACTGTATCCCCGATAATGTCATGGCAAACTTGGTGGCTGAACTTTGTGACTTTGTCCTCACCCATAACTATTTCACATTTGGGGACAATGTAGACCTTCAAATCAGCGGCACTGCTATGGGTACCCGCTGTTAGGATATAGATATTCAGGCCTGTCTGCAAAGGCCTGTACTTTAAGAATTTAGGTGTATTCTTATCACTTGGCTAGTTCCAGAGGTATAAAAGAAAGAATCAAAACCACTGTCTGCCAGTGTAAGGGCCTTCTCTTACTGTGACAGTTTGTGGCCCTGTGCTTAGGCTCAGGCCTTTGGCTAAGCAGCAGAGGCATCCATAAGCTGGGAAGCGAACGGTCACATCCTCACATTCCAAACTAGTCACACTGAAATAAGGTGCTATTCGGCTGTTAGGAATACAATCCTGTCCTGATAGTTCCTATCACCTCCAGAGAAAGGGAAGTGCCTAGAAAATGTAAAAGGAAACTTAGTTTGATAGCATCCTGTCTGGCAAGAACTCACTTATCAATAGCTGGGATGTGAAATCCTCGCTTCTGTGTTGTCTTGTCATTGTAGTTCCCACTTTGCTATTGTTTGTCTGTATAATCTCTGTCTGGTTCTGTGATTGTTCCTGTCTGCTGTATAATTAATTTTGCTGGGTGTAAACTAATTAAGGTGGTGGGATATAATTGGTTACATAATCATGTTACAATATGTTAGGATTGGTTAGTTAAATTTCAGGAAAATGATTGGTTAAGGTATAGCTAAGCAGAACTCAAGTTTTACTATATAATCTGTAGTCAATGAGGAAGTGAGGGGGTGGGGGTGGGGGTGGGGTTGGGCATGGGCATGTGGGTGAGGAAGATGGGAACAGGGAATGGGGGTAAGAAAATTGGAATCATGTTTTGCTAAAGGGGGAAATGGGAACAGGGAATGGGAGTAAGGAAGTTGGAATCATGTTTGGCTAAGGGTAGTAATGGGAACAGGCGCACAGGTGTAAGGCTCTGTGGTGTCAGAGCTGGGAAGGAGGATACTAAGGAAGGAAACTGGAATCATGCTTGCTGGAAGATCACCCCAATAAACATCGAATTGTTTGCACCTTTGGACTTCGGGTATTGTTGCTCTCTGTTCATGCGAGAAGGACCAGGGAAGTAAGTGGGTGAAGGAATAAGCCCCCTAATACCCGCATGGCCCCACAGTATGCCAACATTTTTATGGCTGACTTAGAACAACGCTTCCTCAGCTCTCGTCCCTTAATGCCCCTACTCTACTTGCGCTATATTGATGACATCTTCATCATCTGGACCCAAGGAAAAGAAGCCCTTGAGGAATTCCACCATGATTTCAACAATTTCCATCCCACCATCAACCTCAGCCTGGACCAGTCCACACAAGAGATCCACTTCCTGGACACTACAGTGCTAATAAGCGATGGTCACATAAACACCACCCTATACTGGAAACCTACTGACTGCTATTCCTACCTACATGCCTCCAGCTTTCACCCAGACCACACCACACGATCCATTATCTACAGCCAAGCTCTACGATTCAACCGCATTTGCTCCAACCCCTCAGACAGAGACAAACACCTACAAGATCTCTATCAAGCATTCTTACAACTACAGTACCCGCCTGCTGAAGTGAAGAAACAGATTGACAGAGCCAGAAGAGTACCCACAAGTCACCTACTACAGGACAGGCCCAACAAAGAAAATAACAGAACGCCACTAACCGTCACATTCAGCCCCCAACTAAGACCTTTCCAACGCATTATCAAGGATCTACAACCTATCCTGAAGGACGACCCATCACTCTCACAAATCTTGGGAAACAGGCCAGTCCTTGCCTACAGACAGCCCCCCAACCTGAAGCAAATACTCACCAGCAACCACACACCACACAACAGAACCACTAAACCAGGAACCTATCCTTGCAACAAAGCCCGTTGCCAACTGTGCCCACATATCTATTCAGGGGACACCATCACAGGGCCTAATCACATCAGCTACACTATCAGAGGCTCGTTCACCTGCACATCTACCAATGTGATATATGCCATCATGTGCCAGCAATGCCCCTCTGCCATGTACATTGGTCAATCTGGTCAAACAATAAATACTTGAGTAATGAGTGACCATCCTCCTTTGATGGGGGTGGGAAGTGGGCGCTACAGAATTTCCACTGCCCCAGAAAATGACTTAAGAATCTGGGTCTGCACCACTTAATCAAACAGTGCTGAAGATAGACTGTTTCCATCCTTATTAAGGCATCTAGTTCCTAGTCCATCCCCATGGCAATGCAGGATTATTTCTGACAGTGTATTTTCTAGTTCTTTGGCCAATTTAGCTTTAAAAATAACATTCGTTTTACTGAGATACAAACTTTCAGAAAGCAAAGCATTTGGTAAATCAGAAAACTATACTATAAGTAACAAGATTTAAATTGCATATAGCTGATAGCTAGAAAGCTATTCTGCAGTTAAACATGATCTCTCCTATCCTTTAAATATTACACAGAAAAATGATGAATAGATTTATAGGGTCAAAACTTCTTGAGTATAACTATTGAAAAAGTTCTCACTGATGCTGAAATATTGTGGCTGATTTTATAATACGGCACATTTAATCAGAACAGGAAGAATATATTACAACAGTTAAGAAGGCAGATGGAACATTGTAGACAAGGGTAGAATTGAGAAATTATTATTTTCTAATAAGAAGGAGAAGAAAAAAAGAAAAGTGAACAAAAGAGGTTTTGGTGATGGTGGTGGTTGTTTTTGAAACAGTGCACTAAGAAGTGAAAACCACAGGGGGTTTTAACCAACACTAAATGACAACATAAGCACACCAAAGTGTATATGATATCAATAGGTGCATCTAATCAGTTAATTGAACATTAGGAACGATGCTATTACAGGAATGATCAAATAATTCAAAGTCAGGTTTTAAGAAAAGTTTACAGAGAGCTGTAACGTATGCATGGAAAATAGAGATTCGTCATTGCTAGCAATGCCAATACTGGGGTAGTCACCTACAAACGATGCAGAAGAAAGAGTACTACAACAAGTGGAGAAGTAAAAGATGCTGATTGTTTCTTATTCCATGAAGCATTAAAAGACATTGACACATACATTCAGAAAGCTAAGGCACATTTGTGAAATGTTTCTCTTTTATGTAGACTGCAGTCATATCCACTGCAGCAGACCATGAAACCCACCTGTACCTGCTGAAGTCAATAGCAAAATTATTGCTACCATTTATTAGGAGCTAAGCTGCAGACCCTCCCTCTTTTATCACTAGAAACCCAGAATTTGAATGTAAAATTATAAGTATGTTAATGAAAGGAAATCATGGATATAAATACACAGAGAACGTTTCTATTTACACATTTTTTTTTGCTTTTGAAATATGTGTAATTTACATTCAAATTCTGTTATGTTAATTCTAGAACACAAACACATGTACACATGTATATACAAACACAGAGCCAAATTCTTCTCTTAATTGCAAAGATGCAATGCTATTGACTTCAGTGAGATTATACTGCTATAAAAGGTAGAATAATACACTAAGAAAGAAAGAAAGAAAGAAAGAAAGAATTTGGCTTCTTCTGTACACACATTTTATACAACTGTATTCCCGATTTCAGGAATAAAAATGTATGCCTTTCCCATGAAATCCCTGCTCAGTTTTGTAACTGTTTAATCCTCATTCTTATTAACTTAATACTGTTGTACTTGTGTTTTATTTTCAGTTTGCTCAGTCACATTCCCTCAGGATAATGCAACTGCAACTTTTGCAATTAATGAAATCTGTTAGACACACTGTTACATTGAGAAAAAAGTTCAAAGCACAATCAAATGCATTTTTGGTGAATATCTGTAATTGAAAATATATGATACATTTGCAGTATGCTATAAAATATCCCAATTGTTGCTTACCCCGCTCTGTGTTTGAGCTTTTTATCTAGGATCCCATCTCTGGAAACAAGTTTATTAAATACCAAAATGCCAATCACCATGTTGACCTGTCAAGTAGAAACAAACAGTTGACCTTTCAGTAACAGTGAGGGAAAATGCCTACATGCATTATTCCAGAAAATGGCCTCTTTTACATTTGCCAACATGATGGAATTATAAACTTAGACGATGGTCGCATAATACATTTCTGAAGAATTTAGTCAGAGATTATGTACTGTACTAGCCTCAGGACACATAAAGTGTACTTAACTTTAAGGCTAAATTCTGGCTTCCCGTGCATATCCTCTAACAGGTGGAACAAACATATAAATCAACAGCTGTATTAATTAAAGCCTGAATTATGTCTTGTGTCTGGCCATATATATATGCCTGCCTGTTAATAAGAAAGTAGGCAGCTGTGACTCCAAACACCAATTAAAGGTAAACTTTAATTGTAACAATGTAATCTATTCCATGATAGAGGTAGAATATTTTATCTGAATTTTGTGCACAAGATTAAAACGGATTATGTATTATTTGTATTGCCATAGCATCTAGGAGCCCTAGTCATGAATCAGAACTCCATTACACTTGCTGCTGTACAAACATAAAACAAAGATAATCTTATCTGGTTATTTTAGGTTTCATGCTTTCTTGAGTCCTAACTATGCCTTTTTGCTGCAAGGTGTTCTCACTCATACAAAATCAGAATCTATGGTTTCTGGTTGTTGGTTTTGTTTTGTTTTTCCAAATTGATAATTGTCTTCTTCATATGTAGGCTTGGCAGAATTTGATTTTTTTAAAAATAATTTCTATGGATAATAGCAATGTTTATTTTTATTTTGTTTTTATCTCATTTAAATTTTTACAGTTGGGAAATTGGTATGTGTGTAGACAGTAGACCTTGAGAGTCAAAAAGTTAAAGCTTTATAACTTAAAAAGCAAATTGTCAAATTCTCACATCAAAAATATACAAAGTAAATAGTCTTATATAAAACGCTAATAAGTTCTCAAGCAGCATTTTCCTCTGCCTATATGGAAATATTTATTCATCGGTGTGTGTGTGTACAGTGAAATTGATATTTAATGACAAATATCTAATCCTTCCAAGCCTACTCATATGCCAAAATGTGATTTTGGTTGGCTATATATAGGATTTCTTTTTTCATGGGCCAGATCCTTAGTTGGTATCAACTGGTGTCAATACATAAATGAATAGAGAATGATTTGTACCACCCGCATATTTGGCTCAAACAGCCATGTAGTTCTAAAGTCAGTATTTGGTCTTTAATACATATTGTAAAAAGAAAAGGAGTACTTGTGGCACCTTAGAGACTAACCAATTTATTTGAGCGTAAGCTTTCGTGAGCTACAGCTCACTGCATCCAATGAAGTGAGCTGTAGCTCACGAAAGCTTATGCTCAAATAAATTGGTTAGTCTCTAAGGTGCCACAAGTACTCCTTTTCTTTTTTGCGAATACAGACTAACATGGCTGTTACTCTGAAACAATACATATTGTATGCATCATACTAGGATTTTAATGTAGCCTTTAAATGGACCTGCTAAAAATAATTTTTAGTTAAGAAATGTTTTAAAATGGACTTTTGAGAACTACATTAAACACTGATCATTTGCCAGTATGCCCTTCCCATGGTCCTACTCTTTTAGGCCTTTCTTAGGTTCCATTTATTTGAGCTTTTTCATTTTTCAGATGAGATTTTTCTTTCGTATACTCAAAGCTAAATGGGTAGATGAAAAAGCTCCCTCCACACCTGCTAACTAATGGGGGAGCAAACTATGTCTGTGAATGTCAGAGATCTCTGAATAAAGTTTGCCAATTGTACAGAGAACATACAGTTCCATGTGGAAATTATGATTGGCATTTTGTAAACATCCTTGGCTTCCTCACTGTGCCATGGACTGTGAGCTGTACAAAAGGTTCCTGGTTTGACTCTATATGAAGATGAGACATACTCATGTTTGCGGGAGCTGCAAACATCAACATCCAGGTAATCTTTGTAGCTATATGCCTATATCTCTGATAACTACAGATTTCCTTCTCATTTATGCCAATGCAAATCAGGACTAACTCAGCTGAAGTCAATAGAGGTACACTGGTCTAAAAGTGCTCTAAGGGAGAAGAGAATCAGACCCAAACACTGTAAACTCCATGCTGAAATTATTACCAGAATTTAGGGAAAGATACTACAGCATTTATTACACAATGACCAAATTGGCTTCAGAAATAGGTTATTATTAGCTGATAATAAAAGATGGTCCTAAACATCATTGGTGTAGAAGAGGGACAAATACTGCCAATGGCTGCAGTTTTATTTGATGTCATAAAATCATTTGGTCAAGAGGACTCACCATTCTAATTTGTGGAACATTTGGCTTCAGCAAAACCTGTATTTCTTGGTTCAGATTAGCCTATGTTTCTCTTAGAGTGTCAATATGTAGAGGGTGGGAGGTATTGTTTTACCAGAGATACTAAGCAAATGTTGTCCCGTCTGTCCTCATTTATAGATTGTAATGAGAGAAGCCCGAGAACAGCAGTTTAGGAGGATGAGATTATTTGTGGCATTGAAATTCAGCATGACAGTTTGAAAACAAGTATTAATGCTGGTGACATTCAGGTGACCTAGGCTAATTCTCACTTTATCCTACATCCCTTGCAACCTGTAGATAACAGCTGGCTCTCTGTCAGGGTATCATGTTTTAGGATACATGGCAAAATATAAGATGAGGAAATTTGGAAGAAATATTGTATTATATTGATAAAAGACTTTCAAGATAAGCAAAGCATGTTACTTTATTTTGCTCTGTTGACTAAAGAGTTTGAGAAATCAAGGATTTCCCTCCTGCATTTATTAGTTACAAACCAATCATTCAAAGATGTGGCTCTTTGGGTGGAACAGCTTCATAGCAAATAAATGTACAGTGAATGGGTTGAGGTTAGAGTCAATGCACTTCAAGAGATAGCATAACTAGGAGGCAAATTTACATTCATAATGCTTAGAAAATTTACAGTCAGCATTGTGTGTGTATATGGGGGAGTAGGGAGTGCGAGGGGTGAGGGCTGGTTGTATGCATGTGGGTGATATGGGAGCTTCTAAAATTAAATTCTTACCTTACCTCATACATTACAGCTACAAGGGGAGGAAGAGAATCAGTGATTAGTATGTTCCTGCTGGTGAGGTGAATTACCCTATTCATACTGGCCTCTTCTTGTCAAGTGTACATCCTATAGGACAAGGTCACTGGATAATTTTGTAAGGTACCAGAGCCATATCTAAGAAGGGCTTTGGCCCCTGAAAGTAGTATACAGAGCCTGAAGAAGGACTTTCTGGATCAAATTTTCAAAGAGTATATGCGTGCGTGCACAGGTATGTTTATATGCAAATCCCCAATGTGCCTGCATGATTCAGGATTTTCATAAATCCAGCTCTTTCCAAAATGCATAACAAAACCTTACACCAAACCCATTCTGATCTAAGGGCTAGTCTACGCTACCATGCTACTTCAGAACAGCTGCACAGCGTGTCTGGTGAAGATGTGCTATGGCCAAGGGAGAGCGCTGTCCCATTAGCATAATCACTCCACCCCAACGAGAGGCAGAAGACACCGCTTTAAGTAGATGCAACTTACACCTGTCCGGGGGTGGCTTTTTCACACTCCTGAGCGACGTAACTTACATCGATTTAAGCGGCAGTGTAGACAAGACCTAAGACTTTGTAATAATCTGGAACTGACCAATATAGAACCTCCTGTCAACAGTCCAGGATCAATAAACGCTGATCATGGAAAATTTAAACTAAAGTTGACAGATGTTGTATTACCAGTGTATCTATGAAGAACTTTGGATTATTCGATCCAAATATAGGATTTCTCAGACACCTAGATACATTTCCAGGGCTGTGGAAGTTTGATACATAATAAGTTACATTTTCTGGCCATCGTGATTTTTTTTTTCTTCCAAGACGATAGCCACAGAAGATCTGGCCTCTGATTCCATCTTTCCTGCCTGCCATCCAACAACAGTGGCACAGTACTTTGCACCAGGCCACCAAAGCTGCCACTGAACTTCTCCCTAAGAGAGCAACCATTACATGGATACAACTGATAAGAATCAGCGATGCTTGTAACAAAATTCTTGTGTTAGCAATCAGCATATCATGCTTTCCCAGCTTTATTTTGTGTGGCTCAGGAGTAAAATGAACAAGGCATCTTTTGCAAAACAATAATTTTTCAGTTGTATCACAACCCTTTTCCAGAAGACTACTTCGCATATAATGAAATTATAGATAATTCCTAAATAATTAGAAATTATAACCTATTTTTATAATTATTTAAGCCTTAAATATATTTCCCCTGCCTTTTAACTGGCTCCTCAAGAAAAGAGTAACAGTTAGATATTTTCATGGATAATAGCATTGAGTGAATCCTGGCCTCATTGAAGTGAATAGGAGTTTTGCCAGTGGGACCAGGATTTCACCCATTGATCTCATCCTGGTAATAAACTCTTGCCAAATTCTGTTGTTGCTCCTAAAGAATTTTTTCTGAAGGTGTATAGAGTACACACATATAATATAAAAACCTGTATAAAAATATATGCACTAATAACAATATATATATGATGAGATATTTGTGCAGTACATACAGAAGTGTCCTTGGTTATGCTTGATGTTCATGTGGCTTTGTGTAAACGATGACATATATAGTGTTGATGTAAAATACATAATAGAATAAACTGAATCAGAAAAACAGCATATTCAAAACATTGAGGAAATCTTAGACCATTGTTCTCAGGATGTCTGCAGTAAAATTAATACCACTGCATAACTAACCACTCTGTAATTCAGACAGTATTCCACCATTTCTAATGAAAATACTAAAAATAATGTAAGTGTTTACCAAGACAACAGCAGCCGCAGGTCCAACAAACGCATAGAGTAGTCCTCCTTCGAGAGACAGCCAGCAGCTGGAAAGAACATTAGAGGAAAAGAACTAACACACATTAATAATATCTTTTACACCATGGAGGTGTGATGTGAATAAAACATATATAGTATATCTATTCACTTGACATAGTGTTCAATCCTACATGGAAAGTTCTATAAGCATAGAAAAAGAAGTGAAGTTACTCTGTTAATGTAATGGTGCTATACGCAGTTGATAATGAGTTTCATTATTAGGCCCCATTTTCATGCGTCTGCAACTTTTCAGACAAGTTACACTTACACTGAAATTCCTTATGCTTATTCTGAGTCCACAGTCAAATATTTCTGTAAAGTTTTGTAAAATTTCATTTAGCCATTTTTGAGTTAACTGTGAATGACAAAAAAGATAATTTCTACCTATTAAGAAATTCTTCAGAAATTTATTTTGTCTCAGGGAACTCAAAACCTCTTTATTTTAAAAATGTTAGACTTATCTTATACTTAAATGCTCATTAAGGTCAAGTGCATATGACATGGTCAAATAAACTCGATTAAAAACCATAGTTCTCTATAAATCTTCACTGGTGTAATTTGGTATTTAATACTAGGATAAGGTCTTATGGATTATATGCACTTTAAAAATGATATTATACATCATGTAAGGACTAAGGACCAATTGGTGTCTCTGAAATATTAAAAATATTAAAAAACTAATACTATATGTATGAAAATTGTACATCTCTTGTGTGTTATGCCCTACTAGAGGTCCAATACCACAAGGCCTTTCTGTATGGTGCTTCCATGCAGGTTTCCAGATTCAGAGGGCTTGCAGAAGTGAGTCCTAAACATTTAACACACTACAGTGCTAAGCTTAGATATATAAACACTATCAGGAGCTTCACTTACTGAAGTAAATGCAGCTGTGCTTTTTTCCTCAGTGATTACACATTCACAGAAATGCATGTTTGTTGGAGTGTGTGATCGCACATACATATAAGGAGATGCAAGGAACTGCATTTATTTGAATCTCACATGCAAATTAACTTACATAAAGATGTCCTTATCCTCTACCCCTATGTTTTTTCCTTTCTTTTGAAAACCAAATAAACACAAACACAACTTAATGTTACGGTTCTGTTATGGCTGAAATTTTAAAGGCCAAAAAAAAATAATAAATAAATGTAATTGTTTCCCACAGTAACCAAAAACAGAGCTGAACTTTGCCACATGGACCCAACTCTATTAGTGTGTTGGATGCTAATATGATACACTGATCTAAAATGTCAATATTTGCCAGCAGTTACCCTCTACCAAAAAAGCAATGACAAAATATCTCAGATACCTTTGTATGGTAACTTTTTAATGGACCTGGGTCTATTTTTTAATTTAATTGAAAATAGGTTTGTATATTTTTTTGCTGGTTTTCTACTGGTTTATAGAATAATTGAAAGTTGGATACAAAGTTTTCATTAAAAGTTTTGAATTTTCCCCCTGGATTTTCTGACCAGCGTACACATGAATTCCAATAGAACTCCCTAGTGTCAACCTCCTGCAGGGCCCCTCTCCCCCATTTACTTTGATTTTGTGCAAGGAATCACAATTTTACCTGTAACGTGGCCACTGTAAGGGTGTGATCCAAAAGCGGACTTTTCTGGGAATGTTTCCATTGACTTCAGTGGGCTTTGGACAAGACCCTAAGCCTTAGGGTAAAATTTTCAAAATCTCTTAACTGACTGAAGAGTCTAAGCCCTAGTTTTAAGAGTGACTATGGCACTTAGGACCTCTTAAGTTTCATTGATTTTTTTATTTTCCTCCCTCTTTCAGACTGACTACTAGGGCTAGATCGACAAGAGGATTTAAGTGTCTAACTGCCACTTTAGCAGCCTAAGTCCAACATTTAAGTGCCCTGTCGCTGCTTAACCTGTAGGCACCAAAATTTCCACTGTTAAAGTCCTGATGGCACCTACATTTCTGGCAGTGAGCATGTGTGCAGCCACTTTGGTCTATGCTCCTAAATCACAAATCCTCAAACTAGTTGTTCCCCTATCTGTCTCGCTTGTGGGGCCCAGTCTGGGAAGCATGCTCTCTGCCCACATAAAGCCATATAAAACAGCTGAAGGAGAAAGTGGTAGTACCCCCCACCCCAACTTTTAGACCAGTGGTTAGAGCACTCACATGGGATATGGAAGACCAAAGTTCAATTCCCCATGCTGCCTGATGGGGAGAGGGATTTAACTTGGGTTTCCCCCCTCCTAGGAGAGGACCCTAACTGCTGGGTGATGGATATTCTGGGGCAGGTCTCCCCCAATGTGTCCTGTTGACACTGTTACACTGTGTATGAATAATTAAATACCACAATTTTTTCTGGCATAATTTATTATTATTATTTTTACAAGAAATTGGTTAAGTACCTTACTCCAGGAGAGAGTTCATAGCTGAGAATCCCAGTGGAGATAGGTGCCTTTGAGAGGGGGAGCTTAGGACCCACTCCTCTCCTCACCATTTCCTATTAGAAAATGTAGGTGGCTCCCTGCTCTATATGCTGGCTTTTGTGGATCCCAGTCTTAGGTGCCTATCTCTCCCTCTGCATTGTAGAAGGAGCCTATGCATCTAACTTGGGGCTGTGGATTCCACTGGCTGGCAAGGTTCCTAAAAATTAAGTGCTCCATTGCTCACTGTTCCTCTGTCCCAGGAACCTCTCAGCTAATCTGGCACACCTTCCAAGCATGGCCTGCTCCCTGTGCTGAACAACTCTTCCATAATGGAAACCCCTTTACAATCTTAACTGTGGCTGTTTAAGGGTTAAAATTAATGCATAAAGTTATGTGAACTGCACATTAATTCAACATGCTGTACATATGCAAGTGGATCAAGGTGCTAGGCTAACCATAATTTGGAAACACCTTGCTTTTAAAATATCAACAATAACATCATTGGAATAATGGAGTTTTGCATTAAATATTTTTCATATGTGCAGTAGAAATAACACAAGTTGCTGATAACTAGGGCTGTGTGAAAAATTCAGGAAGAAATCTAAGTTCACCTGAAATCAAGGTGAATTCAAGTTCTAACCACGCCACTCCCATCAGCCCAGGCACACAATTGTTTCATGGATCTGGTCTGATGCTATTTCCCCAGCTCCCCTCTCAGAGTGTTTCTTAATCCCCCCTCCAAATCAGTTTTCCCCTTGACTGGTTCTAGGACCTCCCTCTTACCAGTAGATATCTTCATGTGGGGACCAGGACCAATTTCCCTGTTTCCATTCACTGCTCTTTCAGTTTGGAAAAGGTCTTCTGGAAATGGCACCCTACAATCTAGGAGTAGCTGGCAACAAGTCTTGTTCCTGCTGCCAGCACCTTTGTAACTGTGGAGTGGCAAACAGTGCTACTAGATTCCTTAACACAGGGTAGCTAAAGAACCCACAAGGTTATTTTAGCAACCATAATCTAGGAGGGATAGGACAGAATTCCTACTGGATTGCTTTAGCTACACAGGTCTAAAGCTGAGGAGGCACTACCTATCATTGTTGAGTTCTAGAGTGGGACAGCTCCTCAGCTCCTGATGCCCTGTGTTGAGTGGAAATCACCTCCCTCCCTTGTCTGCAGACAAGGCCAATTGTGGCAGCTTCCAAAGACCTGAAGAGTGGAGGACTGTACCCCACATCAGATCTGATGCCAGATTGGTCAACAACAGGAACATGCTTTTGTAAACATGTTTTGAAATCCAGGTCCTGATTCCCTTGGTCCATATGCATGTCCTTTCGTGTTTTTTAGTTCCACAAGTATTTGGAAAGCTGGTTTTGTTCATGTGGTTGTTTGGAGAGGAGCTGTCAGGCATACAAGCACCTATATATCATTGCATTTAAGGTTACTCCTTATTAGCGATCGGTTATTTCCATCAATATTTAAGTAATCTCCCATTTAAAAAGTACCAAGCATCTAAGCAGGAAGCAGGAAACAAATATGCAGCTGAAGTAACCAGTCCCATGTGAATAATCTCAGCAGGACAAGTACAGTGCTACTAACAATGGCCTTGATCCTGCAAAGGACTGAGCGCCTCCTGAGATATGCTGGTGTCCTCAGCGCTCACTCGGAGTTGAGTGTACTCAGCGTTTCACAGGATTGAGTTTAACACTGGACTCTGATTTTCTTTTCACTCTTTGTGTGGGGCATTTGGCTTCCAGCAGTGTCCTGCACATGAAGGGACACAAAATAGGCCCTTATACTGTGTTGTATAATCTCTAATGGGCATGGCAGCCTTGTTAATCAAAAACATGATTTATCACTGCAGACTGACTTACTAGTGAGATGTTCCATATCCTTTCGTCTTGGTAAAGCCTATTGATATTGCCACTACTAATGCTGGTAAACCTGGAAAAAAACAGCAATTGTCATTAAGGCTCAGCTAAATACCACTGTTCTATTGGGCATGAAATGATGAGAGAGAAGTACTTTCATCTAAAATGATCAATTTGATATGGAATGAATCATTTAACAAAGCACAGCTCTGTTGCAGCGTTTGTTTCTTCCCCAAGCACAAGGGAAGAACTAGATTTTTAGCCCAGTATGCATCACTTTTGTGTTGCTAAGTTACCAGTCTATTTGAAATAGCTTAAAGTGAACAAATAACACAGAGATTCAGTGGATTTTCAGTGAGAGGCTTTTGTCTGTCTTACACTATTTTGCAGAAAAGCTACTAAAATGACACTAAAGCATATATGTTACAGCATCATAAATTACCATAACATTGGAATATTCATCAACTGTATCTTGAGCCAAATCAAGAGCATGACATTATATTGGTGCTTCCAATAAAAAGGGAAATCTCCTTGTACTGGTTTTCTGTTTAGTAACTATGCTATTGACCACCTGTCAGGATTATTGAAATAAATACCAACACCCCCAATTGTGTAAATGCATAACATTCAATTCTAATGATTCTGGCTATATGATTTTTATGGGCTTACCCCATCCAAGGCACAAAAAGCGTTTCCTTATGAGTCGTGTCCTAATTTTTCCAGTAACAGCCATGTACGACTGCCACGCTTCTGTCAAAACCCAACAGAACGAAGCTAAGAAGAAGAAGTGTAAAAATGCGGTGGTCGTGGTGCAGATGCCCTGCAGGGAGCAAAGAAAAGCTCATGCTGAATACTTAGGGACAATCATTTCTCCTTCAGAGGGTTGTCATATTCTATCAACTTGACCTTTACCCCGAACATCACACCTCCATCTTTATAGCACATTTGACACAGAGACTTGGATTATGCAGAACAGGTTGAACCCTGTTCTGAAATACACTAACACAGACAGTTTTGATGACAAATATTTAAATATAGAATGGAGCAAGTTTTCTTACATCTTTACTTTGGCCACAGAACATTGCAAAGCCACTCCAGTGAATAGGTTACATGGTTACTGAACATTGCAATTTCACTACACTGAACAGAGTGAATGTGCAAATACAAACAAACAAACCTAATTGCCATTTTTATGTTCTTTCCCCTCATGCAGACAAATCTTGACTATAAATCTGAACTCCAGGGGGTAGATTAAAGCTTCTTGCTTTATTTGATTTTTCATTTAAATCTTACAGAATGTAATATCATGGGAATCTTTTGGCATATATGGCCTGACATTTTTTAGTCAGGTTTAAGTAACGTAACCTTAGCAGTTATTTTGGTTATTGTTTTTATGCATGTCAGTCATTTGTTATCTGAAAAGTACTCTGAACTCATCCAGCGCATGCTCTGCTCTGTCATTGTAGCCTTTAATTAAATTTGACATTTTGGCTCATATAAGTAAATTTGATTCTCCCTTGGAAGTAAATTATAATCCTTCATTTCACTGCTTTATTTCAGTATGGAATTCTAGAGACAGTGGAATTCAGACTACTAAATGCAGTATGTATAATGCCCCTGCACCAAAACCACACCAATACTGTAGAATATAAACCGTATAGATCTTTATTACTTTTTAAAATATGGTTTAATCAGATTGAAATCAAAACACCCTGCCAAAACAACAGATGTCAGCAACACAAGAACTTAGCTTGAGATGGATTTAGAATTTTGTAATATTAGTGTTATTATTAATCTATCTAGCATACTTCTAATAATAAGACAAGTTCCTCTCCCAGAGTTTCTAGCTAAGGCACCAGTTCAACAATACTTAAGCATGAAGGCTCTGCAAGAATTAATATTATGCAGGTACTCAAGTACTTTGTTGTATCAACTCAGCAATACAGCCTATTTTATGTTTTAGAAAATGTTTATATAATTATCCATTACTTTTTAAAAATCAAGTTATGCAAAGCAATGAAAAACCAAAGGATTATCAAAATATACTAACCACCGAGAAGTTTTAAAAAAATACCTGCAAATATCTGTGAGATTTAAGAGACCTTAGAGGAATTACTTTAATATTAATAAGTCCAGTCTTGCAGCTTTACCTTTTCTGAATATTCCTTAGGACCAATTCTGATCTCACACTGGTTTTCCGCGAGTGTAACTCTACTGACTTCAGTGGAGATATTCTTGTTTTACAGGTAGGTAAATGAGATAAGAATCAAGCTTTAAAATTATGCATGCAAGGATATACTTTCTTTTAAAATAAGTTTGCCATGCTGCATTGAGAAAATTTCTTTTGAGAAACATGGAAGCCTTCAGCTGTCATAGTGATGTGTGTGGACCGAAAAACCTAGACAGTGAAAGAGAGGTTGGCTTTTGAGGTTACATTGTAGGACTGCCTCTAACCTAAAATCAAACTGAATCACATTGCTGAATTGGTACACAATCGCTCTCAGTGCTTCTTTAAAACAATTAGCATTGAAGTTACTTCCATAGAGCCAATGGCAAAATTCCCACTGACTTCAGTGAGTGCAGAATTAGGCCCATGATATACACCTGAAAATATCATCAGGCAATAAAAAGATACTGTAAATCTGGTCCATATAAAATTACTGCATGCTGAAAAAGCACTCTATTTTATTCTGCTACTTCAAAATAAATGACAGGATAAAGGCATATCATGAAAGCCATGTGACCATTCCATATCTCTTGAGAAACAATTAAAAGCAAATGTGCTGGAACAACTTGTACAGTGGGGGGGCTGAGAGCCATCGAACCAAACTGTAAACCCTGTGTGATGGAAACCACTTCAAGACAGGGGGTGCAGCAGCACTCCCAACACACCTAGTTCCAGCACCTATGATTACAAGGGGTAGCCAGTGATCAGAATATTAATTTATTACCATTAATTCTTAAATTTAGCTGCTCCAAAACTATGTGAGCTCATAAAATCCCATCCCAGTAAAGCCACAATGACAGTATTATTACACTGGGTGGTAATATTACAGTAAAAAGCTTGGCCAGATAAACAGATGGATTTGCAGGCAGACCAAGTATTACATCATGCCCATATAAGCATACTTGAGGTGTTAAGATTATGATGAACTAAAGTAATATGCATGTTAAATCCTGGATGTCTGTGCTTTAGACTGTTTACGTGTTAAAGCACATAGGATGTTTTCAAAAATCCTGACATTCTAATTCTAATTTCTATAAAATATACTCCTGTATTTTGTCCACTAAGTGAACTGGAGACAGTATTGCAACAGAAAAGTCTTAAACTGTCCTGAATATGTATTCATCTGATCACATTACTATACAACATGACTGCAAGCTCCAGAGATCGATATCATTAAACTAAAACCCTGATGTCACTCGTTTAGCAGGGGCCTCGATTTTTTTTTTCAGGTCACTTACATCCAAACTCTCTTATTCCATAGTTACAAGCCAACAACTACAGTATCTGGGTTATGACTATCCTTCCAGCAGCTATTGTTAATGGTACATCATCTGCAATGTCATTTGTTCTGAGATGCCAAATTAGCCTTTCCTCTTTCTCTTAGATAAAAAATCTTAGCCAAAGCATTTAATTTCAGTGTTCCTTTAAAAAATACCAATTGAAGGGCATCAGACCTTTTAGAAAGTGTTGTGTAGGATTTCTTCCCCCTGACAGTGGTAAACTGCCTGGAAGGAAGTATTACCATAATATAAAATCTTATTTAAAATAAAGAATATATAGAGAAATGCACCGTAAACAAAATGACAGAAAATATATAAATGACTGTGTTCCTGTAGCAGCTGGCTCACATATTATAAATTCATACCATAAAACTTTAATTTGCCTTCCTGTCAGTCTTTTTGTAAAAACTGAGACATGTTCTATGGAGTACAGATTTGCTCCCCAAAGCTATTTTTTGTCAAAGCTGGAAACTTTCAGAGAAAAACTGCACAGGTAACACAGAGTATTACCTACCCCCCAAAAAACCAAAACAAAAACCACCACAAAAATCAAAGCTTATTACTCTTCATGTAACAAATTATATGGCACATACATAATGCATATGGGGACAAAGCCTATTCTTTATATTTAGTCAAAGTAACTAATAATCGCTATGGAAGTTTTGACTGTGTATGAACTGCAGGATTTGGCCCAAATTTGTATCTGTATTGAAAGAAAGATAGATGCTAATAATTTTCTGACAAACATGAACGTGGCTCTTTTTGAGCAAGAACTCATGATTAAAATGTTAACTATCATGTTGGCCCCAAAACCTGAAAACAGGTGAAAAAAGTTTTGCTACAAACTCTAGAAATTACACACACTGGAGTTTGAGCAGAACATAGGGGTTAATATCTCTAACTCTTTTGAGTAGTACATGGGATCTCTAATGAACCCCAGAGGTAAAAACCTTGGTGTCACATATCATCCAAGAGACATTATCTCCATCTGCATAATATCCCCTAACAGCTACTGGAGAATCCTGATTATAAAATCTATTATATTCCCCCTCAAAAAGCAATGTTGGGATATATCCTAGAAACGTAAGTTCAGTAGGACTCTACTAAACAGTGGCAAATTTTCATTCCCACCAGTGGCTGTCATCAATGGAACACCAAGCAGCGATACCCAGAAACGTATGCCTGGAATCCTTAGAACAAAAAGTGAACCAGCAGACCTAAACACAAAAAGGAACAATCCCACTTCCCACCAGCATAACTACATAACATTCTTTTTTTAAGAGATGGCAACATGGGCCAATAATGTCTTAGAAGCACTTTGAACAAACGATGGCTGCTCCAGCATAGGTTGGTTGGGAGATGGAGATGAGTGAATGCAAAGTCCCTTCTCCAACCCCAATGCCCATGTGCAGGAAGCAGCCATAATGCTGCCTCCAGCACTTCTTGAGCGCAAGAGTCTGGGGCAGTATCATTACCAGTCACTCTGAAATCTCAAAGGCTGTTTCTGGGTGTACTCAGGGTCTTGAAAATGGGCCTAAGCACCTGCATATCAGCAAGCACCAGGGAACTGTCCCCTAAAGACAGTGTATGCTACCCCTTTACTGAAGGTGTGTAGCAAGGATTCCCAGTGAAACTTTTTCCTGTGGATCCTGGTAATATTGCCCAGACAATATCGGAAGACAGACAAGGCACCAGGAATGTAGTTTAAGTAGGTTGCAACTTTAAGTAACACATCTGGAAATAACTCATCCAGTGCAGGTCATCCTTGCTTTGTAATCTGTTCCACCTGCTGGAGGGCTGACATTCTCCTCACCCCCAACTCTGTGAACTTGGTCCCTGCATTGTTGCTGGGATCCCATTGCCTTTCCCTCATCTAGGGGTTAAGGGGTTTGGGAAAAGGAGTTGTCTCTTCACTGTACTAGAAATTAAGAGCCACAACCCCATTCTCTACCTTCTTTGATCCATTTAATCTCTAATCCATTTTCAGTTCTGGTCTATCAGGGAACCAGAAACCCTGCTGAATGAGTCCCTCTACCAGGCACATGCCAATGATTACCTCTACCGGGCACATGCCAAGTTGCAACAAAATGAATTTAAAATATAAATCTACCCACCAGGTTCCTGAGCTGCTGAGAAGGTCAATCTGGCAGTGAGGGAAAAATTCATTTCCAGCCCCCAAAAGGCAAATAGTATGATACCCGCATCAAGACCTCCAAAGGTGGTCCTACTCTAATCCCAAAGGAATGGAGCAGGAAGTTTTCCTTCCCACGGAAGAATCTATGACTCTAGTAGCCTTAATTGATCTTTCAGTGT